GGGCTTAGAAAATGGCAGAAGCCCTACCAGACATGGCATTCTAGCACGCCCCAACGTGCCAGGGGGTACTGTGGCGGATTCAGCAAAAACACAAGTTTGAACATGAGTTGTCTCCCACGAATGTATGAAACAATTGAGCGCGACGCTAAGTTGAGAGGCTCACATTGAAAACGTGTCGCATTCCATCTTTAAGCATGTTGCGAACTTGTAAGTAGATGCCAGGCGTTAAGGCGAGAGCCCAGTTCGAAACAAAACGGCCCGTCCTCTGTTCTTGAAGTTGCTCCAAAAGTTTAAGACGAATGAGGGCGGCGTTGTACCGAGAACGCCAGTTTGAAAACAACCCGCCAACCATCCTCGAAGTTGTGGCAAACGTTCAAGACGAGTGAGCGTGGTGCTGAGGCGACAGTCCAGATGAGAAAACGGCCCGTCCTCCATCTTTGGAGTTGCGGTATAGTACCTATAAGAAGAATTCGCGCGGCCCTGTGGCGAGGGCCCCGTTTTGAACACAAGCCATCTCTCGATCCTTAAACTTGTTACAAGTTTCAGGCTTCATGGTCATACGTAGTGGGAGGGTATCCGGCGAAACGCCGGGCCCACCCTGCCGACACGTCATGGAGCGCGCCAGGGAGGAGTTGCTGATAAGTCAAAGTCTTGAAGGGAGGAGATAAGGCCAAGGAAAGGGAAGGGAGGAGAGGGGAGGGACGATGGAGGAGGGAGGAGTAGGAGGAGGAGGAGTAGGAGGAGGAGGAGGAGGAGGAGGGGGAGGAGGAAGAGGAGGAGGAGGAGGAGGAGGGGGAGGAGGAGGAGGAGGAGGAGGAGGAGGAGGAGAGGACTGAGCGGAGCAGTGGCAGCGGAGAAGAGGCACGCTGCCTGCGGCGGTGGCGCGCGGACCCTTGCCTCTTCTCGTTCCGAGAAAGATCACGGAGGACAGTTTGGGAAGGCTTTTGGTCCTCTGGGTGCCCTCCCTCGTTGCGTCACAAATCACGACGTCGGAGTTCTTGGGAGGTTGGCGTGGCGGTGATCCGGGCGCTCGTTCGATCCGCTGCCAGCGCGGGCAGGGAGCAGACGAAACGACGAGAGGCACCCATAGCAGTTCTCACAAGTTGATCGTTGCATGCTGCTGTCGGTTCCCCGAAAGCAAAGGAGGGAAGGGCCAGGAGCAGGAGGAGGGGGAGGAGGAGGACGAGGAGGAGAATGGTCGAGGGACAGCAGGAGGAGGAGGAGGAGGAGGAGGAGGAGGAGGAGGAGAGAGTTGACTTCTGGGTCGTCGCGACTGGGCGTCGCGATGCTCTACCGGGTCGTCGCGGAGCACGCGGAGTTCAGGGGGTGGCGTCGGGCGTCGGGCGCCCGTGGACAGACTGGCTGGCCGCTTGCCGAGATGGGGGCGCGGCCAGCAGCCCCGCGTCAACGGCTGGCTCGCCCATCAGTGCGCACGATACAGCTCTTAACCCTGACTACAACACGATGGGTTCGCGGCCTACCTCAGGCTCCCGGCTGTTAGGACCATCCCTAAACATGTGGGTGGTTTCGTCTGCGACATCTGCAGAGCAATTGTCATTGCCTCTAGTGTTGCCGGCCCTCCTCACTCAGGTCCCCTGCCAAGTCTTGTTTTTCCCATCCAGTGTCGGCGCGGGCGGGCAGGCTGCGTTCTCCCTGGCAGCAAGCGGCCAGAGGACCACAAGAGCGATCCCCCGTCTCATAAAAAAAAGGCGGCTCGGGATGTGCGGAGCCGCTCGTTTCGCGTTCGAGAAGCCGGGCGCCCACGCTTCCGAGAAGCGGGGCCGCCGGATGTCCCGCTTCCTGGCTGTTTTTGGGAATCTCGGCGGGAGGCCCGCGTCCCGATCGCTCCTGGTGCCCCGCGCCTCTCCAGGACGCAGCTAGGCAGCGAGCAGAGGGGGGGCTTTGGGTCGGGCATGTCCTCCTCCGGGCGGCTGTTGAAAGAAAAATGGCAAATCATCAGAAATTGCATCTTAGGGATGCGCCCTCAAAAACTAAGGGAATCCCTAAGATTGGCATTGTGATGAAGAGGGATAGGGATATGTTCCAGGCTGGTAAAGCCAGCACTAACAGTCGTCACCTATTTAAACAGCTGGTTCTTGAGTAATTACTCCTCCTGCAGGGGCGCGCCCGACCCGAAGGGGAGTTGGGCGGCCGAAATCCTGAGCGCGCGTCGGGCCTGGAGGTTGTCGTGTCGTTGCGCGCGGCTATGCCTCTCACCGTGCCCCTTTTCCCCGCTGCTTGTCTGCGCGGCCTTCCTGCCGTCGCCAGTCCGCCCCTCCCTTGCTTCCTCCGCCTCGGCCAGTCCCCCTCGTGATCCTTTCTCCAGCCTCGCCATTTCCGTTCCCTTCCGCTGCCCTCTTCCTGGCTCTACTCCCCTCCTCCGCCGTCGTCAATTTTCCGCCTCCCCCTCACTCCTCCATCGTATTCCCTTGTCCCTCCTTACCTCGCTTTCCCTCCTGCATCCCTCCTTGCCCCCCCCCCCCTGCTCTCCAATCCGTTTTCCTCCCCGCCCCCTCTTTTCCAAGGCTACTCGCACCCTCGCTCTCCCCCACTTCTGTTCTCCCTCCATCTTTGCTTCTCCTCGGCCCTCGTCTCCCTCCTCGTCCGTCCCCCTCTCTCCCTTCCTCTCCCTGCTCCCACAGCGCCCGTGCCCCCCGCTCGCCCTAGATTAGCCGCTCGCCAGCCCCCGCGCCCCCCCTCCGCCCGCGGGGGCCACAGGGGGGCTCGCCCAGGACGGGCCGGCAAGCGCACGCAGCGGGAGGGATGGGTGCAGGATGAAGAGCTGGCGGAACGAGTTGGCCCCCACCAGGGCTGGCCTCCCGGGGTTCCCGACGAAAGCATCCATGCACCATCGCCGTGCCAGGCCAGGGCCATCCTGGGCCCTAGGATGGTGCATAGACCCTCCTGGCCTCGGCCAGGAGGGCGTATACACCATGCCAGGGCCAGGATGGCCCTGGCTTGGCACGGTGGTTGTGTATGGATGCCTTCTGCGTTGGGTTGGCCCGGAAGGTTGGCCAGGGTTGGTCGGGGCATCGGTTGGCGTTGGCCAGAGGGCATGACCACGTTCGCGTTCGGCGCTGGAGGGGTATCCTTCTCCAAGGCGGCGGCGCGAAGGCGCGTTCAGGTAGCGGCGGCTTGCACGGCGCGAACCGCACAATCGGGTGAAACAGGTGGCACGCCTCGGGCATGGGGGGGGCATGAGAGGGGAGGGGGCAGGAGGAAGAGAAACAGGAGAAACGGAAATGCAGTGATAGAATGAAGCAATTGGAGGAGGACCGTAAGGAGGAGGAACATGTCGTGGAGGAGGAGGAGGAGGAGAAGGACTAGAAGGACTAGAAAGAGGAAAAGGATCAGTACAGGGATGATCATGTGGACGTGGAGAGGAATTTTGAGCAGGTGAAGGAATGGGGATAATGATGAGCCAGATGATGAGGAGGAGCGTGAGGAGGATGAGTGCTCAGCAGGAACAGCAGGACGAGGGGCACGACGAGCATGATGAGAACGAGGAGGAGGAGGAGGAGGAGATTAAAGTTGATAAGGATGAAGGGAATGTGTGGTCCCAGCGGCGTGCGTCCAGCACCAGACGAGTCCCAGACGAGTCCGCCGCAGCTCAGTCCAACGGTTTGTTGTGTGCGTCCCCTTGCGTGCATCACCTAGGTCACCCGTACGGGCGCGAAGACAGTCGCGCGCCGCGGCTTGGGTCGAAAGAGTGCGGAGAGGCGGAGACGACCTGCAGATCGCCATCGGCGCACAGATGCCAGCGATGCCTCGAGCCTGCCGAGCTCCCTCCGGAGCCCGCCGATCGCGAGCTCCCCCCCCCTGCACAAAACTCGACGTGCTCCCGTGGCATCCGCCGGCGCGCAGCGATCTTCGTCCGCACCTTGGGCAAGGGGCACCTTAGCAACCCCTAATCACTGATTGGGGGTTGCTAAGGTGCCCATTGCCCAAGGTGCCCCCGGCCGTTCGCTCCATCTTGGAGCTCCTGGGGCTCTCCGGGCTTCATGAGGGTTGCTCTGGAGGCCCCAGGAGGCCTCCCTGGAGATCCTGGGGGCACCCTGGGCCAGGGGCACTTCTGGCAACACCCGCCGTGAAGGAAAGGGCTCCTGGAGGCATACAGCCACGCGCAGTTTGGTGTACTGTGGAAACCCATGCCAAGAAACACCCTGCTTGCCTCCAGGGTGCCCTGGGTTTCTCGGGTTTCGATGGCTTTGCTATGGAAAGCGTGACGTCGCCACACTAAACAAATCTGTGGACGTCCTGGGGTCTCAGGGTTGGGTTTCTTGTGGAATGTTTCTTCTGGTCGAGCTCCCACTGTAGGGTGAGGGTGGAAGACTCCTTCGAGGAAGGCAACAAAAAGGTCCTGCAGTGGTGGGGGGGGAAGGCTTCTTAGAACCACCCTTGCTTCTTAGAAGGCGCGGGCTTCGTCCGCAGATGTAGGGCCCGCGCCCTCTGAGCAGCGGCCTCCTGCCGAGAAGCCTTCCCCCCTCCCCCTGCCCGCTTTTGTGCGCCGCCAGAGCAGGCGCCCTGGGCGCCCAACGTCGTTCCGCAGCCACTGGGGCGCTTGAGCGGGCACCTGCGTGTTCGGGCGCGCGCGGGGAGGAGTGCAGCGCGGAGTCGGTCGCTGGCCGCCCGGAGATGTCCTTTCCTTTCCCCTCCTCATTCAACCCCTTCTCTCGTCCCCGCGCCCTCCGTCTTTCCCCATCCCCCGTCCTCCCCCCTCTCCCGGCATCCTCCTCGTTCTCCCCCGTTTTCCGCCCTCCTCCTCGTGGTCCTCCTCCTCCTCCCTCCATCGGCCAATTCGCCCTTCCCCCTCTCTTTTCCAGAGTGGTCGAGTGACGACTTTTGACGGCGACCTGGACGACAACGAGGGCGATGACGAAGACGACAGACAGACAGACAGACAGACAGACAGACAGACAGACAGACAGACAGACAGGCAGGCAGACAGACAGACAGACAGACAGACAGACAGCAGACAGACAGACAGACACGGCGCCAGGATGGTGCTGCCCATGTCGCTGCTGCGCACAGCGCAGAATCAGCCCATGATGGCGCGCCGCAGCCCGCTGCGGATCTCGCCGCCCTTCCCCCGCCGACGAAGGGCTCACGGGCACGGCCCCGAGTCTGGGGGGGTGCAACGGGGCGCGCGTAGCCCCCCAAAAAGCAGCCACGGCCGCGTAGGAGACGAGGCCACGGTTCTGGCCCCGCCGAGGAAGGGCCCAAGATAGGGAGAAGGAATCACACGGATGATGACGTGGATGGTGACGTGGATGACGAAGAGAAGGTATGTCAAAGATGATGACGTGGATGATGGCGAGAACATCATAGCCAGTTGGAGCCAGGGCCAGCAGCAGCAGGCATGTACATCAAATGTCCACTTGGCGGAGCACAGGTCCTCTCAGCAGGAACACGGCCTCGGGCCAACCTCGAACGATCTCCGTTATTGGATGGTGGTGATCGTAGGATAGTCAACGATCCACAGGGTATCGGAAGCTAAGGCCCACGTCATCACAACGTCAATTTGATGTACGTCCTCTTTTCTTGCGGTTTCCATCCCATTTCCCCGTTGTCATTGGCGACCTCGCCATTTTTCTCCTCTTGACCCGTCTGTTGTTGATTATTCCATGCTCGTGCTCCTGTTCATTATCCTCCTCCCCCCTCATTCATATGATGGTTGTTCGTTATCGGTGTGTTTCCGTCTCGTTGTTTTCCTTGTCGTTGAAATTATCCTTCTCGCCGTTTTCCTTCGTTGATTCCCCCTTCATGCTCCTGCTCGTTGTGTCTTCTATCCTTATAACTCCTCCCCCCCGATTCATACTCCTCGTCTCCTTCTCACTCCGCGTTTGCGTCTGATGGTCCCCATCTTCCCTCCTCGTGCTCCTTTTCTACATTCGTCTTGGTCCTGTCATCTGTACCTCTCCTCTTGCTGCTCCTCCTCGGGCCTCGGGAGGAGAAGCAGGCTTGCAATTCTAGACGCTTCGCGTAACCCCACCAGCCCATCCAGAAACGATGCCCAGAGGATTTGCCTCGATCAGGGAAGTGGACAGCACACAGAGGAAGGGTCCCCCTTGGAGGCCTCTTGGAGCGTCTTGGGGGCCTCTTGGCGGTCCCGGGCGCCTCTTAGAGCGTCTTGGGTGCCTCGCAGAGCTTCTTGGGGCCTCTTGGGGGTCTCTTGGGAGCCTCTTGGAGGCCTCTTGGGCGACTGTTGGGGCCTCCTGGGCGCCTCTTGGGGCCCTCTTGAAGCGCTCTTGGGAGCGCTCTTGGAGCCCTCTTGGGCCATCTTGGAGCCATCTTGAGGCCTCGGATGGCCATCGGAAGCGAAAAGGCCAAGAAGGGGGGTCCCTCAATTAGCCTCGCCCCTCAGAAGCCCCCCAAGTCGCCTTTTTGAGCGTTCTTGGGGCGCTCCTGGAGCGCTCTTGGGCGCTCTTGGGGCCGTCTTGGGGCTCCCTTGGGCCCCTCTTAGGGCTCTCTTGGGCCATCTTGGAGCTATCTTAAGGCCTCGAATGGCCATCGGAAGCGAAAAGGCGAGAAAGCAACACATATTGATATTCCTCAGGTTTTTGAAGGATTGTGGCCTCTTGGGGGCAGCTCGTTTGGCATCTTAGAGCCGTCTTGGAGCAGTCTTGGGGCGTCTCGGAGCATCTTGGGAGCCATCTTGAGGCATCTTGCGCTATCTGGAGCCATCTTGGAGCTCATCTTGGGCTCTCTGACGCGCTCTTGGGGCCATCTTGGGCCATCCTGGGCGCCCTGACCGCTCGCGGGGTGCCCCGTCCAGGTCCAGGGGAGGAGGCAGGGGGAGGGGTAAGCCCCTCCCCGAAAGGGCAGAAGGGAGGTGGAAGAGGAAACGCTCCGCTCTAGACCACAACGCCCAGAGGGCTGGTGGGATTGCACTTGGTCGGTCGGGGAACGCTCTTGCGGTCACTAGCCGACACGAAGGCCCGACCGAGCCGACTCCAATCGTCCTACGACGAGGCTCCGGCGTCGTAAGCCCTCGGGTTCGAGGGTAGCTGCTGTTGGACTTTGTTGATCACACTTCGGCTACCAGAGGCCTCTTGGGACTTTTCGGGATGTCTGGAACATTAGGGTGAGGGGTGCCCGTTTTTTGTCTTCTTTACCCTCGCATCCTACTCCTTACACGGCATCCTCCTCCTCCTCCGTTTGTGACTCCCCTCCCCCTCGAGCTCATATGGGTCGGCATCTGCACGAGCAGCGGACATGCGTCCTCACATTGAAGGCAGGTGGAGGACGATGCTGTTCAGAAGAGGATTAGGATGTGGGCCTAAGTTTCAGCGTCTCAGAAGCCAGCGGAAGATCCGCAGATGCAATTGGGAGGTAAGCAAGTATGGAAATCTTGATTGCGGAAGCCAGTGATGGCAAGGCGGAACATTGGAAGAGTTGGTAGCGTGTGTTGTTTGACTGGCGTTTAGTCGGCAAAGTGCTTTTTACCAAACAACCTGCTGTTGGGTCCTCGATTTGGAGAGACGGCGCCCCGCGTCTCCTTCCGTCCCGCTGCTCTCCACCTCCCTCCTCATCGTCCTCGTCACCATCCTCATTCCCAACCGTCCTGAGGTGTTGGGTCCTCGTTCTGAAGAGACAGCGCCCCGCGTTCCTCCTCCTCCTCCTTCTCCTCCTCGCTCCTCCTCCTCCTCGCTCCTCCTCCTCCTCCTCCTCCTCCTCCTCCTCCTCCTCCTCCTCCTCCTCCTCCTGGCCTTGGGGCCCGAGATTGCTCGGGCGTCGGCGCGCGCGACTCGCAAAGGCGCAGCGCGTCGGAGCCGATGGCGTCGGCGACGTGAGGGCGAGGTTACCAGTGCGCCCGACTGGCGGCTTCGAGCTGATCATCGAGGCCAAGTCAGCTGGACCAGATACAGAAGATCCGCATGTCCCTCTGGAGCTCGCCGCCGAGGAGAGTCGTGGTGGGAGGTCAGTGGCTGTCGCAACCTCCGACTCCTGCACCGAGGCATGCTCAGCGAAGGCCCTGGGTCGCGGTCTCTGCCAAGGCGAGGCCAAAGAAGGAGGTTTCGGCGAAGGTGAAGGCCAAGAAGAGGGAGAAGACCCAGGCCTGGCCGCGTGGAGAATCGGCCAAGAGCTTCCACCCTCACAGGGACCTGAAGGGCAACAAGGACGGGACATTGGAGAGCGATCCGAGGGAGTTCCACGTGCCACAGTGCGAGTGCGAGCCCTGCTCCACCAGACCTGCCAAGAAACTTGTGAACTTCGGCGTCCGCGGGCATTGCCCCTTCTGCCACCAGATGGCGCCGGCGTCCACCCTGGCGCTGCAGGAGGAGGCGTGCAAGCGTAGGACCATCATCAGGAACAGGGAGGATTTCGAGCGCCAGCGGGACCTCAACAGGCAGGTGGCGTCGGCCTCAGCTGCGAGTTCTTCGACCTGTCCAGCGTCGACGGGCTTGGGTACTCGCTGGGCCAACATTCTCAAGAAGGTGAAACAGGCGCTGAAGTAGAAGAGCAAGAGCAAGGAGCTGCACCTGGGAAGGGAGCCCAAGAAGGAGAAGTCCAGCGCGGAGGCCGTGCAGAACGGGATGCAGGCACTGTTCCACCAGGCTCAGGCGAAGAAGGACAGCTTGCAGGAGCTGATCACGTCGCTGGAGCCCACCTGCACAAGTCAATTTCCAAGGAAGCTCAGGACAGGAGTCCCTGATCAACAAAGCCAGGGCGGAGGTGGCCCACGCGGGGAGGGACATAGAGCGGATGCCGCGCATGCAGAACCTGGTGGGCAGGCGCTGAAGTACGTGCGCGACGAGCTCGACTGCGCCTTCTCGGAGTGGCGCCGTAAGTCGCAGCTGTCGCCAGTTCGCCATGTAGACGGCGAGCTTGGCGGTAGCAGCGAAAAACAGAAGGACCGTGAGCCGAACCTTACGGATGCTGCAGCCACAGACGTGCAGCCAGAGCAGTCGAACACCACTGGGGTAAAGAACGAACCGAAGACTCTGCCAGCCGCTCCCCTTTTTCCCCATCCTGGAGGTGAGCATGGAGGTGGCGCAGGTGGAGTCGCCCGAGACCGGCTCCTCCGATAGCGGGCGCAGCGTCATATGCACAATCGATCGCGGCGGTGCTAGCACGAGCGCGGAGGTCGGCGAGATCCTCAGTCTCGCGGACCACCCGAGGCCCAGGGAGCTCCAGCGCACGATCACCAGCGCCGCCAGTTCGTCGGGGTTTGAAGCGGGGCGCGATCGAGGAGGCCAGAAGGTCCTGAACTGGTCCGCCCAGGCGTCCCCGAGGCGGGTGCCAGGGCGCGTGCCGAGGGTGCGGCTCGGTGCGCCCGCGCGCTCCCCGTCGCCTCGGTTGGATCGGCCTTGAAGCTTGACGGCGGCCGCCGTCGGTGGCCGCCGGGTCTCCCGCGCTGCCACGCTGGACTCTCTTTCTGCTCGCTGGACTTTGGCTCAGCTCCGCGTCTCGGCGCAGGCCCGATACGTGTCTGCCTACGTAGCGGGCCTTGCAGACCAAGGCATGCCATCAGAGCCTTCAGAGCCCTCCTCCTCCTCTCCCTCCTCCTCCTCCTCCTCCTCCTCCTCCTCCTCCTCCTCCTCCTCCGCCCCCTCCCCATCCTCATCCTTCCTCCTCGTTCCTCCCCCCCCGCGGTTCTCGCTCTTTCCTCCCGCCCCAGCTTTTGCCCTCCGCCCACCTACGGAGCCGCGCGCCGCACGGAACCCCACCGAAAGCCTCAGTGGTTGTGACCACGCGCGTTCCGCGCCACCCAGCACGGCGGTTCGTTGCCCCACAGGGAGCCCCACCGAAGGCCCCAGTGGCTGTGACCACATGCGCCCCGCGCCACTCAGCACGGCGATTCGTGGCCCATCTGTAACGCCACCGAGGGCGGCAGCGATTGTGACCACATGCGTATCGCGCCACCCAGTACGGCGCTCCGTGGCCTCCTGGGGAGCTCCTCTGAAGGGCACAGTGGTTGTGACCAAATGCGTCCGCGCCACCTACTACTACCGAAGGCCCCTATGGCTGTGACCACACGTGTCCGCACCACCCATTGCAGCGCTTTGAGGCCCCTTAGGGTCTCCAACGAATGCCTCATTGGCTGTGACCACATGCGTCCCGCACTACCCAACACGGCGGTTCGTGGCCCCAGAATGAGTTCCACCGAGGGCTCCAGGGGGCACATATGGGGTTCCACTGGAGGCCCCAGTGGATGTGACCACATGCGTCCCACGCCACCCAATACGGCGTTTCGTGGCCCCATTTGTAACGCCACCGCATGGGGAGCTCCACTGAAGGCCACAGTGGCTGTGACCACATGCGTCCCCGAAGGCCCGCGATTCTGTGACCACATGTCCCGCGCCAACCATAACGGCGTTTCGTGGCCGCGTAGGGAGCTTCACCGAAGGCCCAAGTGGTTGTGACCACATGTGTCTTGCGCCACCCCATAAGGTGTTTCGTGGCCCCATAGGGAGCTCCACCGACATCCCCATTGGTTGTGGCCACATGCATCCCGCGCCACCCAATCTGATGTTTCGTGGCCCATCAAGGAGCTCCACCGACGGCCGCTCCGATTGTGACCACATGCGTCCCGCGCCACCCAGTACGGCGGTCCGGGGCCCCATCAGGAACTCCACCGAACGCGCCAGGGGCTGTGACAACATGCGCCCCGCGCCAGCCAGGACGACGTTTCATGGCCACGTAGGGAGCTCCACCGAAGGCCCTGGTGGTTGTGTCCACATGCGCCCCGCGCCACCCAGTATGGCGCTTCGTGGCCCCACGGAGGGCTTCACGGGGGGCCCCCGCGGTTATGAGCACGCGTGTCCCGCGCCACTCGGCACGGCGCTTCGTGGCCTCAATAGGGAGCTCCACCGAAGGCTCCTCCGACTGTGATCACGCGCGTCTTCCCCCGCCAATTTCTGCACGCCGCTCACGCGCTTCGTGGCCCCATACGGGGCTCCACCGAAGGTCCCAGTGGCGTCGTTCGCATGCCCCCACCCCCGTCAATATCGGCATACACCTCACGCGGTTCGTGGCCCCTATCGGGAACTCCACCGAAGGCCTGGCGACGTTCGCATTTCGGCCCCGCTACATGACGGCACACCCCTCACACGCTGGTTGGCCCCATATGGAGCGCCACCGAAGGCCCCAACGCTTGCGCCCGCATGCGCCCCCGCCCCACGCTTCGTGGCCCCATAAAGAGATCAACCGAAGGTGATACCCACAACGGCGATACTCACAACTGCATATGGTTGGGCCCTTCGCCTCGATAATTGTTTCTTCGTCCCCGTGGCCGCAGATGAATATCGCCAGTTGAAGAAAGGCGGACGCGTTGTATTCTGAATAACGGCATTTCTAGCATGATGATAATGCATTCTCGCAGTGTGGCGATCCCGAAGGTGGAGCTGAAGAACGGTGAGACGTACAGTGGAGTGCTCGCATCTTGTGACGGTTCTGTTGCCTTTGTTCACAGCTTCTTGCCCAGATGTTTTTGCAGTTTGATAGCTGCATTTTGCGGCTGATATTGCAGGCATCAGTTTGGCTTAGTCTGGGTGGTTATGTCAGCGCGAGGGGGTCGGTGGGAAGTTCTGTTTCGTGTGGGTGGGTGGGTTGGTTTGTGATATCTTTTCGTTTGGCTTGTTTCATTCGGTCGGTGGAATGCTTCGCGATATCTTTTTACTTGGCTCGTGGTGAGAATCGCACGCACGCGAGCTAACACAACATCGTCGAAACATATGGATGTTGCTACGAAGAGATGGTTTGTCTCGCGTGGGTGGGTGGGTCGGTGCAGACGTGTGAGTGCGCATGTGCCAAAGGCCACTGCAGATACAGGACACTGCGGGAATACAATAAAGCCAGACACCGTACCGTCGATGGGCGATTAAAGATAAAGAGTGTCAAATGAGTGAAACTTGGTGACTTCGTGTAGGCATCAAGTGCTGGAATATCCGCCAGCACCTCGACTGGCGGAGTTTCCACTCAGGAGCGCTTTGCACAACAGCGAGTCAGTCTCCCAAGGACGTCCGGCGACTCTGTCTTATAAGGAAATACCAGGCCAAGACAGGCTTGAGTTGCCAGTGCGAATTGTGTCACCTGTTCCTTTGCGTGCCACACCTTGTTTCCTATATTCGAAAGCGTGTTCTACCGCTGCTGGCGGAAAACCGTGGGGGGTCACTGGGGGATCCCAACCCGTCCCCCCCCCCCCTCCCTCTCGAAAACAGAGGGGGTCACTACCGGTTCGAACCCCTTCCCCTCCCACCCCCCCCAGTCCACCAGTCCATCATGAAAAGGGGTGGGAGGGTTACTACCGGTTCGAACCCCCCCCCCCCCCCACCTCGAAAACCGGGGGGGGTCACTGCCGGTTCGAACCCCCCGTATCCCCCCCCCTCGCCGCTGGCAAACGATTCCCGCTCCTCGGGGCAGTTGGACAATGGTGGGGATGCTGGGACAGTGGTGGGAACGGTGGTGGTGGGGACAATGGTGCGGGGACAGTGGGACAGTGGTGCAGACAATGGTGCGGACGGTGGTGGTGGGAACAGTGGGACAGCACAGTGGGACAGCGGCGGGGACAGTGGGACAGTGGTGGGTACAGTGGGGACAGTGGGATAGTGGTAGGGACCGTGGGGAAAGTGGGGAGAGTGGGACCGTGGTGGGGACAGTGGTGGGGAGAGTGGGGACAGTGAGACACTGGTGGGAGCACTGGTGGGGACAGCGGGGACAATGGTGGGAACAGTCGGGACAGTGGGACAGTGGTGGGGACGGTTGTGGTGGGGGCAGTGGTGTGGGGCGGTGGCGAGGCCGGCGGTGGGATAATGGGACACAGGTACACTGGGGACAGTGGTGGGGACAGTGGTGGGAACAGTGGGACAGCTCAGTGGGACAGCGGCGGGGACAGTGGGGCAGTGGTGGGTACAGTGGGGACAGTGGCTGGGGCCGTGGAGAAAGTGGGGACAGTGGAACCGTGGTGGGAACAGTGGTGGGGACAGTGGGGACACTGCGACAGTGGTGGGGGCACTGGTGGGGACAGTTGGGACGGTGGTGAGAACAGTGGGGACAGTGGTGACAGTGGTGATGGGGACAGCAGTGGGGGATGTGGTGCGGACGGTGGCAAGAACCCGGGAGTCGTTTGCTGGCGGTGAGCATGGGCGGGGAGGAGGGGTTCGAACCGGTATGTAGTGAACACCCCTGTTTTCGGGGGGGGGGTTCGAACCGGTAGTGACCCCACCCGGTTTTCGAGGGGGGGGGGTTCGAACCGGTAGTGACCCCCCCTGTTTTCGGGGGGGGGTCGAAGCGCTACTGACCCTCCCCGTTTTTTTTGATGGGGGGGGTTCGAACCGGTAGTGACCCCTCGGTTTTCCGGAGGGGGGGGGGGTCGAACCGGTAGTGACCACCCCCGGTTTTCCAGGGGGGGGGTAGTTTTGTTGGAAGGAGGGGGGGGGACCCTCGGGTTCCGGAGGAAGAGGGGGGGGGAATTTTCACAGTAAAGCGGCGGTGGATCACGCTCTCTTTTATATTATCACACCGTCAGCGGTGAAAATGATCGGAGGGCGCCGATTATACACCTACGTACACCGATCCTAGCAAGGCCCATGTTGGGCCCACAGCATTCATGTATCATGTATCGTGTACTCATGGTACCCCCCTACCTGGAGATACACTGTGTGATGCAAAGTGTGGAACTGTGTCCTGCCTGCGGCAAGTCCCGCCGCCGTGACAGCCCAGTGCTCTCGGAAGCAATGGTGCGAGTGGCGACGGGAGGCTGCAGCATGTGGATCGAGCGGCGTCAAAGGCGCAGCGCGCGTTGACAGCTGGAGTAACGGGCAGAACGCCGTCACCTGTCACGTTTCGTCGCCTTGAGCTTATATCGGAGCACTTGAGGTCGACGTGGGGCGGAGTAGAAGGACAGAAGAAATGATGACGAGGAGGGTGGGGATACTGAGGGAGGAGGAGGAGGAGGAGGAGGAGGAGGTCCAGAACGGGTGGACAATTGCGATGTGGACCTTGATGATGGTATCATGTTGAGGAGGAGGAGCTCATTTCGGGCTGCCTCGGGGTTGTCTTGGGCTCCTCCTCTAAGGCGTTCTTGGGTCCCTCCGGAGGCCGTCTTGGACAGCGTGGGGCTCTACTGGGGCCGTCGGCGGGCCATCTCGCGCGGGTGTTGTGGCTGATGGTTTGACAGTTCGGGTGTTTTCTTGGGCCGTCTTGGGGCCAAATTAGAGATCTCTAGGGCGGGCTTGAGGTGAAGGAAGCCCAGGGAGGTGAAGATGTGAAAACGATTCCAACAATTTTGGCCTTCTCGCACCCGTCTGAGAGCCCTCTTGGCCCGCGTTGGCCGTATCTTCGGGGCCTCTCGGGCCGTCTTGAGGCCATGTTGGGCCGTCTTGGGGTGATATTGAGCCCTCTCGGAGGCGTCTTGGGTCATTTGGGCGGCCTTGCTTGCCTGCCTCGGCCGTCTGAAAGCTCGGGAGCGTCTCCATGTTTTGTTACATGCGCTCGTGGCCTCGGGTCGGTATTGTTTAATCGATCCCCAAACCCATTCATATCCCCATCCAGCCCCCCTGACGTCTCAGCACCCCAGTCGGGAATATACCCTTCGAAACCCGAAGGGAACGACGGCCTATATCCCCATCTAGGGTATTCGATCGGCCAGCGGGGCCCAGGCCACGCCGGTGGGGATGGGGGCTGGCTCAAGGATGCTCATCGGGAGCACGGATCCGTTGTCCTTTGTGGGGGAGTCGTAGCCCCGGGAGCGGCGCGGACCCCTTTTGTGTTTCACGAGGGGGCGTGGCCTCGGGGGCGCGGACGCACGTGTTCTGTGAGGCCATGGGGGGGGGGGCAGCGCATGCCCCTGAGCGCTTCGAGGGGGGGGTCCCTGAGAAGACTTGGACACCCCACCAGGCAGCCCTCTGGATTTTACCAGGCCTCAACGTCCCAGGGGGCACGGAGACGGATTGGTTGCGTGATAGCAGAGGCGCGTTTCGGACGGGGCTAGGACGAGGATAAATCCGTTCCAGAGCGTTCTCGAACGCTCTCAGAGCGTTCAGGGACGCTCTGCGTAGGCCGCGGCGCCCGATAACTCCTCCAGAGCCGCCAAATTTCAGAAGCTCTCGATCCATTCTCACCCGATCCTCGTCCTGGCTTCGTCTTAGCGTTGAGAAGCCAGGAGTCGGCCATAAAGGCGCTCGTTCCGTGGGGCCATCTTCGGGCCCTCTGAGGCAGTATGCTCTCTGGGGCTCTCTTGGTGTCATCCCATCTAGACGTTCGAAATGGATACGGAAACAATGGGTGCAAAGTCCAACAGCAGCTCTTGTTCGTTCTTAGCAGGATTCGTTGGGCGTCTCCGCGGTCGTTGCCTATTTGAGACAGAAGGCCGCCTGCACAAGACCGGTCGCTGTAGGTTTTGACAACATGTCTTGTTTGGCATCGTATCCATTTTTTCGTACCAATTCTGGGCGTCGAACAATTATGGTTTCTTAGTTGCTTTCGGTACCGTCCTGAGCCGATCCAGGAATCCATCGATCAAAGAGGGGAGGGCCCTGAATTAGTGTCGCCCTTTCGGCCAACGGGGAAACTGTGTTGGGAGCCACCTGTGATCATCAGGGGTTATGTGACGGCGTTGGGGCTGTCTTCGGGCCCTGTTGAGCCTCTCCTGAGACTTTCTTGGGCCAAATTGGGGCCACCTTGAAGCATCCGAAGCCCATCAGAAACGAAAAAGTGGGAATACGAATAACAATCTGACGACGTGTGTTTGCTGCATTGAAATTGGGAAAGCCCGCCAGTGGATGGCCCTGAATACACAAAAGGGGGGGGTGCTCGCAGAACCCCTCCCCTCCCCCCCTTCAAAGGAGGGGTGAGATTTTCGACCCCCCCCTCCCCCCCTCCCCCCCTTAAGGGGGAGGGGGGTTCCGACCCCCCCCCTCCCCCCCTGGAAGGGGGAGGGGTCCGGACCCCCCCCCCCTTCCCCCCTTTGGCGCTGGAAAGGGGGGGGGTGTTCGAACCCCCCCCCCCCTTCCCCTTCTTTGCGCCGAACAGGGGGCTGGGGAGGGGGCTTCTCGGGTAGTGAGTAGAGAGTAGTGTGTTTTGAGTGGCGATTGGTGAATAGTGGGTATTCGATTGTGAGTAGTGCGCAGTGAGTCGTGAGTAGTGAGGGGTGCGTAGAGATCAGTGGGTAATGAGTAGTGAGTAGTGGGTAGTGGGTAGGTGGGTAGTGGGAAGGAAGTAGAGAGTAAGGAATTATAAGTAGTGGGGAGTGAGTAGTGTGTAGAGAGTAATGCACAGTGAGTAGTAAGCAGTGAGTAGGGATGAGGGAATAGGCAGTAGCGATTAGCGAGGAGTGAGCCGTGAGTACTGAGTACTGCGCAGTGAGTAGAGAGTAGTGAGTGGTGAGTAGCGAGTAGCGAGCAGGGAGTAGCGAGTAGGGAGTAGCGAGTAGTGAGTAGTGAGTATCGAGTAGGGCCTTGTGAGTAGTGAGTAGTGAGGAGGGAGTAGTCAGGAGTCAGTAGTGAGTAGCGAGTAGGGAGTAGTGCGTAGCGAGTAGGGAGTAGCGAGTAGTGAGTAGTGAGTAATGAGCAGCGAGGAGTGAGTAGTGAGTCGTGAGTAGTGAGTCGTGTGTAGTGAGAAGCGAGAAGTGGGTAGTGAGTGGTGGGTAGCGAATCGGATATGCGAGTAGAAATTAGCGAGCAGTGAGTAGTGAGTCGTGAGTAGTGAGTCGTAAGTAGTGAGTAGCGACGTGCGACTAGTGACTAGTGAGTACGGAGTTGGGAGTAGCCAGTAGCGAGTAGTGCGTAGTGGGTAGTCAATATTTCGTATTTGGGTAGCGAATAGCGGATAGTGAGCAGTGAGTTGTGGGCAGTGCGTAGTGAGTAGTGAACCGTGAGTCCTCCGTAGTAGGTAGTGGGTAGTGAGTAGTGCTTAGTGAGTAGTGGGTCGTGGGCAGTGAGTAGTGTTTAGTGAATAGAGAGCATTGAGTACTGGGTAGTGAGTAGCGCGTTGGGAGTAGCGAGTAGGGAGTAGGACGTAGTGAGTAGTGAATCGTGGGAGCGTAGTGAGTAGTGGGTAGTGGGTATAGTGCGTATCGGGTAGCGGGTAGGGCGTTGGGATTAGCCAGTAGTGAGTAGTGAGTATTGTGTAGGGAGTAGGGAATTGCGAGTAGCGAGTAGTGGATAGTGGGTAGTGAGTTGTGGACAGTGAGTAGTGAGTAGTGAAGTGTGGGTAGTGAGTAGTGGTTATTGGTTAGTGGGTAGTGAGTAGCGATCTGTGATTAATGAGTAGTGTGTTGTGAGTTGTGTTAAGTGAGCAGTGAGTATTGAGTACGTAGTGGGAAGTGAGTAGTGAGTAGTTTGTAGTGAGTACTGAGTAGTGAGTGGGGACTAGGGAGTCGTGAGTAGTGGGTAGTGGGTAGTGAGTCGTGGGTAGTGAATAGTGGGTCGTGAGTAGTGAGTAGTGAGAAGTGAATAGTGAGTAGCGAGTAATGAATTGTGGGTAGTGAGTGGTGCGTAATGAGTAGTGAGTGTTGTTTGGGGCTGGGGTTTGGGTTTGGGGTTCGGGTTGGGGGTTAGGGTAAGGGCGACGATGAGTGTTAGGGGTGGTCGGGGTCGGGTTCTGGAGACCGGGGACGCCGTGGCGAAAGGGGGCGGGTCGAATTTGGCGGCCAAATGGGGGAGGGAGGGAGGGGGGCTTCGGAAACCTTTCCCCCCCTTTTGAAAGGGGGGAAGGGGGGGGGCTTCCCCGACGACGAACCGGGAAAGGGGGGCAGGGGGCGGGGGGGGGGTTCCCGACGACGGATCGGGAAAGGGGGAGAGGGGGGGGAGTCCCCGACGACGGATCGGGGAAAGGGGGGGGGGTCCCACCCCCTTGGGGTCATCCAGCGGCGCGCCCTCTGAAATTGGCCTCCTCGGCACATTCTTCAGCGGTTCCATGACTCCTTTAGGTCGTTTTGGAAGCCCCTTCAAAGCATGATGGAAACAATGTCGGTCCAATTTGGGCTACATCGTGCCATATTGGAGGCTACCTTGGTGCATTTGGAACCATCTTGCTTGGGGCGATCTTGAGCACACATGACATCGTCATTTGTACGTGTCCTTACGGTCACAGTTTTTTGATAAAAACCCAAGCGAGCAAGCATCCTAGATTCTCGAGCATGCTGGGGGTCGCACGCACGTGCTGCAGCAGTCGAGGGCACGCGGCAGGGCGCAAGCTGCTCTGGGGGGGGGGCTCTTTCCATTCTTAGAGGTGGGACGAGAGAGGCGGGAGCGGGCACAGGGGGGGAGAAGCGAGAGAGAGAGAGAGGGACACAGCCAACGCGCCTAGTAAGGACGCGCGCCTTCATCCAGGGTGCCCTTGCCTCTGCGGCCCGTCCTTTGCCGTCTTCACTGGTTTCCCGCCGTCCCGAAAAAGACCCATTTTCGGCCTCCAAGAGTCTTGCGTCCTTACCACCTCTCCTTGATGCACGTTTTCATTGTAAAGGGAGCGAGCGAGAGAGGTGGGGACAGCTACAGATAGGGCCTTCCAAAAATGGCCTCGCCTTCCAGGATCGAAGGAGTTGTCGTCTCTTCCTCGACAAGAGGCGACGGAAGTAAAACGAGGGCGGTTCCGCCGGCGGAAGCTCGGCGGCAGCCGGCGGAAGTAAAAGATGCGCCCCCAAAAGATGATAACGTTTTTGGGTTCAGGGTTTCCGGAACCCGCCAGATGGAGAGAGTGAGCGATGGAACGCACTCAGGTTTTATGAATCTCCACATGCGCGACATCGTGTGCACCTCTCGCGACGGCGAGCGCTTCTGGAAGATCCCCGAGTGCTATGTCCGTGGCAACAGCATCAAGTGCCTATAGATCTCCTCCGCCTGCATGTATTACCCTTCCTGCTCCCCCTCGTTCCTCGTTCACGTGCTCCTCCACCAAGTCTTCCTTCCTCGCCCTCGTTGTCCTTCTCCTGCTCGATATGTCATGTAAGGCGGGGAGGGATGTAGGGATGTTGAGGGGGGGAGAGCTTGCGGAAGGTGCAGGATCGGAGGGGAGGGGGAGGGAAGGGAGGGAACCATGGGGGGGGCAGCATCCGAGGGGCGCGCATAATGAATGAACGATTTTGATGGGCGCGCGATGGTCATCATTGCTTGCTTCTTGGTGCGAGAAAAGGCCCACGATTGCTTCACAGGTATTTGCGATTGCCCGACGAGGTCATTGACATGGTCAAGGCGGCACGTTTGTAGCTTGAAGCAGCCGTCATCCAATATTCAAATCTACGATGGCTTGTTGTCTTTGCTATCTCGTTGTGTCGCCCCGCGGGCACCACAGTACAAACACATGTGCCTTGGATGTTTTGATGTCCCAAGGCCAAGCGGCCAAGCACCTAGCATCCGCCCCGCCTACTGGTAGACGGAGGGTCGGAGACCGTTCTCTGGCAGAGGTTCTTTGGGACTCGCCACTTGCTCGGCCGCGGCGTTTCCCCAGCCAGGCACCAGGTTCGGCCCATCTGTACTTGACTGTTCTCGGGGCCGTCGTGGAGTCGGTTGGTGGTTCTCTTGGGTTGTCTTGGACCGCCGTGAGAACCTTGTGGGGCTATCTTGGGATCGTCGGAAGCGCGAATGAAGCGAGAATAAGGCCAGCTCAGGCCGAAAGGGCTGGTAATCAAGAAGAGAACAGTTATACGTTGCTGCATGTTGGTGGCCTCACGAGGTCCTTCTGGAAAGCTCGGGACCTACTGGTGTCCTGTTGTGGCCATCTTGGGGCCTATGGGGAAGTCTTTGCGCCGTCATGGACAGGTGCGGTCGCATGGTGCAGCTGTCTTGGAGCGACCTTGCGTTGTCTTGAGGCCGCCTTTGGGCCGCTGATGAGCGCCACGAGCGGCACGTGGGGCTAGTGAGGGGCTCGGGGGGACGCTTGCGCACCGCCCCCTCGGCGATTCTAGCATGGCCCAGCTTGCCGAAGGCACGGCGGAGGATGTACGAGTCAGAGTCGAGGATCTTCTGATAACAATTGTGCTGTGATTCTGCTCCTCCCAGATACTGGCCAGGCCGGCGTCGACTTGTGAGCAATGGCCCTGGCTCTAGAAGGTTGCTTCGATTAGATTTGTGTTGTGTTTCTTCTCCTCCCAAATATTCGCTAGGCCACCGTCGACTCGTGAGCAATGGCCCTGGCTGTAGGAGGTTGCTTCGAACAAGTCGATCTTCCACATTCCCCGAACAGTGCCTACACTTGATGCTCCTTACTCGTTTGTCGTATGGAACTGTGCCTGTCTGGCGGTCCGGCGGCTCCGTGATCGCTGTCGCCGCCCCGTCACCGCCTCGTCGCCGCCCGTCGTCTGGGCCTCTCTGGCGGTCTGCCGGCTCCGTGATCGCGGTCGCCGCCCCGTCGCCCGCTCGTCGCCGCAGACTGGTCGGGAGACTCTTCATGGGGGTGGATCCCATGGGGGGATAGGATCCCAGGGGGGGATCCCATAGGATCCCCTGGGGATCCCATGGGGGGGCAGGAGGGGATCCCATGGGGGGGATCACCTCCTGCCCCCCCATGGGATCCCCCCCCATGGAGAGTCTCCCGAACTGGAGGGGACGGACTCAGGTCTCCAATCATCGCGAACACACCAAAATCTGACAACCAACTTTGTATGATTGTCGGCGGTTGGAGCGCGTCTCTGGGCTTTGGGATCGTACGCACAAGGTACGACTCGAACATGCTAACAAAAAGCATTAGTCGGAGGAGGTATGGGTGGAGGAGGGGACTGGGGAGGGAGGGGGGCTGTCGAATTTGTGCCAATGTGCTCCTGAGGATTCTGGTGGCTTCTGGATGGTCCCCGAAGTGTTCGCGAGCCTGCGATAGTTTTCGGGAGGTCTGATCATATTTCAAGAGGCTCTCGGAAGGGGAGGAGGAGAAGGAGGAGGAAAAAGAAGAGGAGGTTGACAAAGCAAGCGACCTTCTGGGGCACGGAGTTGGAGGAGGATGAGGAGGAGGAGGATCAGTGCAAACCATCGGGATCAACGATGTTGCAAGGACACCCTTGCTCCAAGCTCCCTCTTCATGAGCCCCTACAACATTTATTTTCATTGCAGGGAGTGCCCCATTGACAGACAATCGTCTGAGAATCCTCATTCGTGCCAGAACACCATTCCTAGGACTTCGCCGCGAATCAACGTTACTGTTGCGTCCTGACAATCCTTCACCGCGCAAAAACACAATTCCTGGGATTCCATCCCTACGATAAAAGGATTGCACGCGGCGCTAAGGCGAGATCCACATGTTGAAACGTAACCGTCCTCCTGGTTTTCAATCAATGCAATCGTTTGAGACGAACGTGCGCGGCGCGTGGGCGATAGCCGCATTTTGAAAATAACCCGCCCTCGATCTTTGAAGCGGTTGCAAACGTTGAAGGCAAACGTTGAAGGCAATGTGCGCAGTGTTCATGCGAGAGCCACATTTTGACTTGGACTCATGTTCCATCTGTCAAGCTGCTGAAAAAATTTAAAACGATTTTACGCGGCGCTAGATGGATAGCCACATTATGAAAGCCACCTGCCCTCGATCCATGAAATGGCTGCGAAAAATTAAGACGAAGGCGCGCAGCTCTAAGGCGACAGGCACATGTTTAACCTACTCTGCCCTCCATCTTGGAAGCTATAGCAGCTTTCAAGCTTAAGGGTCATAAGTGGTGACGAAGCATGAGGCGAAACGCCAGGCCCACCCTTCCGACACGTCTGGGAGTGCGATAGGGAGGAGTTGTTCAGATATCGGAAAGAGCGTGTTCTACCGCTGCTGGCGGAAAACCGGGGGGGGTCACTACCGGTTCGAACCCCTCGGAAAACGGGGGACCCCCCCCCCCCCCCCCCAAAGGGGGGGGGGGGGGGGGGTCTACCCTTCCCCCCCCCCCCCCCCTCGAAAACCGAGTGGGGGTGCGGACAGTGGTGGGGACGGTGTTGGTGGGGACAGTGGTGAGGGGACAGCGGGACAGTGGTGGGGACAGTGGGGGGACAGTGGGACAGTGGTGGGGACGGTAGTGGTGGGGACAGTGGTGGGGACAATGGTGGGAACAGGGGGGACAGTGGACAGTGGTGGGAACGGTGGTGGTGGGGACAGTGGTGTGGGGACAGTGGGAATGAGGTGGAAACACTGGGACAGTGGAGGGTACAATGGTGGTGGAGACACTGGTAAAGGCGGTGGCGAGGACGGCGGTGGGACAATGGGACAGAGGTACAGTGGCGACAGTGGTGGGGACAGTGGGGACAGTGGTGGAAACAGTGGGACAGCTCAGTGGGACAGCGGGGGAGTCAGTGGGACAGTGGGGACAATGGGGATAGGCAGTGGTTGGGTCCGTGGAGACAGTGGGGAGAGTGGAACCGTGGTGGGAACAGTTGCGGGAGCAGTGGGGACACTGCGACAGTGGTGGGGGCATTGGTTGGTGGGGACAATAGGGACGGTGGTGGAACCAGTGGGGACAGCGGTGGTGAGGACAGTGGTGCTGGGAACAACAGTAGGGGATGTGATGCGAGAGGTGGTAGGGACCGGGAGTCGTTTGCTGGCGGTGCGTGGGGGGGGGGGGGGTCGAACCGGTAGTGACCCCCCTCCGGTTTTCGAGGGGGGGGGGGGGGGGGTTTCCAACCGGTAGTGACCCCCCCCGGTTTCCGGATCCCCAGGGGGGGGGGGGGGGGGGAGGGGTTCCAACCGGTAGTGACCCCCCCCGGTTTTCGAAGGGGAGGGGGGGGGGGGGGGGGGGGGGGTTGGGGAGGGGGGGGGGTTTGCCGGGAGGGAGGGGGGGGGGGGGGGAGGGGTTTCCGGCAGGGGGGGGGGGATTTTCGGAGGGAGGGGGGGGGGAGACCCCCGGGTTCCGGAGGAAAAGGTTGGCAATTTTCCACAGTAAAGCGGCGGTGGATCACGCTCTCTCAGATATCGACAAGGGGTGGAAGAGGAGGTGGTGGACTTCTGACACCGCCGCCGCCCAGGACGAGCCGATGAACCGCAGGGAGATCCGGCAGCAGTACAAGGCAAGCTCCCCACGTGCTGCGACCCCCCGCAGACCCCGGCAGCGTCAGCGCTCGGGGGAGGAGGGGCGGGCGAGCCCCCAGACGAGGATCTGGGGAGCAGCAGGGAAGGAAGGGCACAGGGGAGAGCAGCAGGGAAGGAAGGGCACCGGCGTGCTCACTACCCGCACACCAGTTCGTCCGACGCGCTGATGACTTCCAGCCAGCGGCAATACCCGAGGAGGAGCAAACACGCCGTGCACATAAACTTTTGGCGCTCCGCGCGGATTTCCGGGATCGGCGCCTGGGCCCCCCTTGCGGCGCCTCCGCGCGCCAGGGAGGGGCGTCCAGCGCAGATCCAAGAAATTCGCGCGGAGCGCACAAAGTTTATGGTTGTGCTGTTTTCCATACTCTGGGAAACGTAAGACTCAAGTATGCGGGAAGTCGGGTGCACCTTCACTTCTTGACGAGTCCGTCCTGGATTTTGACGGTCCGGTTTTCGTGGGATGTTTGCGGCGGGAGTTCGCGTCAAATTTCAGGCCGGGTCTCGTCATTTTCATGATGGCCCCGTCAGGCCAACCCGAGTCCCCGTACCCGAGATATACGCACAGTATGTCCTCCGACGCGCTGATGAGTTCCAACCAGCGGCAATCCAGTCGGCCCGAGATATAATGACGAACGAACAACACGCACCCATACCCATAGGTGGGACGGAGGCGGCTATGGGTGCGTGTTGTCGGATGGGGGTCCCCGCTCGAAAGGAAGCACCCCCCAGGATCCGACAACCCGCACCCATACCCATAGCCAGTCCCCTTCCCAACATTCCCCCTATGGGTATGGGTGTGTGTTGCTCGTTCGTCAATATAAGATAAGGTCAGTTCGGGG